AATTTAAATCTTAATGAAATTTTTTTTCAAAATTGTGCAATAAGTCCAAATCAAATAATAATTAAGTAATTACACTCAAAAATTTAGCAAAGCTTTTATAATTTTCTTATTTGTTTTGAAATGTTGTCTGTCTGGAATACCTAAAGTCAAATCCACCTTTTAGCGCAACAAAACCAACAAACCACACAACTCATCAATCTATTTGACGTCAATACTACAATACCAAGCTTGTTCTATTGAATTTACACCAGCGCAACCCACTTTCGCAACAACAAATCAATGGCAGGTCATACACTTGCGGTACAACGATAGGGTTGATGAATGCTTGTCGTTCGTTAGCTCAAATCAAGTGAAATTAAATTTGTGCGACCTTTTCACTGCTGCTGCTGCTGCTGCTGACCGACCATCAAGCCGAAAGTCCCAATCAGTTTGAGTTTAAGCAGCACAATTGTGCTTTAAACTAGAATCATTTTCTTTATCTTTTTTTTCTCATTTTCGAATTTATGTCGTAGATTTTATGTGCTTTCCGCAGATGGGTTTCTGTGAATTATGACCAATTTGTGATGGTCAGTTAAATTTTATCATCTCAGCATCTCATATGCTTGGGAGCTAAACCGATTAATGCAAGTAGTTTAGAGCAAAAAATGGAAAATGATTAATTTTTAAATAAATGGTGATTGATTGGCTGGCGTCTTTTACAATCTTGGCCCCCAAGAACATTCAAGAAAGTTATAAAGGAGATTTATAGCTTCAATAAGGAGTTACAAGTTAAAAAGATCAATTAATTTTAAAATAAAATGCGGTCTAAAACTCAAAGTAACCGATTCCCTTTTTGGATTTCTATTCAGTCTATGATTGTTATTCCAGCGTTAGGTAAATAATTTCCTAAAAGACTTGAATCTGTATAGAAATTGAGAGCTGTAGAAAAGTGGTTTCCACTACTTGGCTCATGGCACCTAGATTATATTAAAGGTGATCGCAAGGGGAAGTGTACAATACAAATGAGATTTGAATTTATTCATCTTAACACAGCGAAATTCAGGAAAAATTCAATTATCGCCAGTTATATGACGTCTCAATCGGCTAAAGGCCGGACACTCGCAAGGATAGTGCACACAGCGGATGCAACTTTACCTAGTTTACTAGGATGGTCCGTTAATACACCCATGTGAATGTTAAGTTCCCTTTCCCTTGGTACAATGAACTGTTTAGTATGCCTACTATCCACGCTGCCTTACAATAATTTAGTGGTACGTCCTCCGACGGGAGCGTGCCAAGACCTTAAGTTTATGGGCTACTGTTTTAAACAACATTTTAAGGCGCTGAATGGTCTGAGGCACTCTATGGTAACACAGCCTCGCTGGCAACTCGCGCACGAGCTAACTTGTGCGACTTTCCATTGCTTTCTTCGTCAGATTGGTTTTGAACCCAATTGATATTAAATGTGACTCCGGCAGTGGTCTTTTACCGGGGAAAATTTCGATTTAGAGCGGTCGCTCTTTTCCCTGCTTGAGTATTGCACAAAATGCTTGTTCTGAATTCAAAGTCGTAATTATTGAGTTTAAAGCTATGCTTCTATATATGGATAGCTTCACTATAACTGCCTATTTTTCTGCTTAACACGCAAGGAGATGGCGCCATCTACCCTGCAAAAGGTTGCGTTTATAGGACGCGTTTTCAGCTCGAGCTCTAAAATAAGGTTTCAATGCAACTACGTCTTTCGCAATCCCGAGATTAAACTCAGCGCAAAATCTCTTTTGCGGGAATTCCAACTTGGGAGCGTTCTTTGGGCTTGTTTTCAGCATATTTCTCCCAGCTTAGTTTTAATTTACCAAAGATTGCCACGAGAAACTCAATGTGATTGGAGAGATTATAATGTTTCCTCTTAAATATGGTGGGTTGAATGGATGAATTTTGGTCTTTGTAGTAAAGAGGCACATGCGAAAGTTTTCCGGGTTTACTGAGAGTGTTTGTCCCTCAGACCAATCAGCTGGGCATTAGGATATTTGACAGAATATGACGATGGCATGATTAGTCACAGCTGCATAATCTCCTATAGGGACTATTTTGTCTTTCTTTAAAAAAGAACATAAAGTATGATAAGTAAAGCTTCTTGTCATCCATATGCATACTCATATAGCGCAAAGATCTATACGGTTTTGTCTGAAACTGTAGTTGAGTACAATATCGAGCCGAGGGAATTAAGATAGGTAAAACATATCTACAAATGAACGCTTTTCGAGGTTTGCAGGAAAAACAAATATCACCATATAACCGAATGTATAAGTATATATATAGTTTGGCGCCTTCTTACCACCGAAGCGATATCGGCCGAGTTCCTCATTATAGTTGTGGATTTTGCGTCTAGATGGTTTTCCAAAAAAAAGTGGGGAGGGCCTAAAAAAGAGCTTTTTTCATGTCAGAAATATACTCAAGCCCCCAGAGTCATTCCTTGTCGAGGAGCCATCGTAATTATAAAAATTATTTTCTATAATTTTGGATGTTGATCAAACCAAGACTCTAACCCTGTCCTTTAGAATAACAGCGCGCAATGCTGCCGAATACAATTGAATGAATAATAATTAAATGGTTTAATTGGGAATATAAATATAACAACATCTGCGAATGGATTTCCAATTCTGCTTCCCTGCCGTTGGAACATTTCGTGTCGTAAATTTTTCACTGCTGAAAATCGACAAAAAGGACAATTAGAAAGTTTCATATAAAAGTAGTTTTATTTAATTTTTATTTCTGAACTTTTACCGTTAAAAGAAAATGCGTGTATTACTCAAACGGTCGTAAATATTATGAGTGTTTCATGGACATACATCATGATTTTCCGTACTGTTTTGAACTTCATTTTGAACTTGTGCGGTTTTGGCTTGCTGGCCGCTGTAACGAATGAGCTGATATTGGTGTAAAAAGTGCAATTTATGGAAACTTTTCCACTAAAATTTTTTTTGAAAGAAAATAACAAATATTTTTACTGCTTGTTGTTGTTCATAGAAAGCTTGCTTTCCAATAAAATAAATTTTATGTGTAATTTTTTACACGAAGTAAGGGATTTTTTTGCACAGTATGAGATTTTGGATGCGCTTTAGGGGTAGCTTCTAAGAAATAATAAGAACTATATCAGTTCAAGAGACCACTAAAAATGAGGTTATATTAAAAATTATCATACCGTGGCCTTTTCGAAATTCAATAGACCGAGACAGGCTTTAAAATAGATCTATTACAGCCATATTTTGAACTCAGCAGGCTATCAGTAATTCAAACATTGCGGCCTGTCCAATAAGGATTAGTGAGCCTTTTATAAACAAGATCTACAAAACTCTCTGTATCCCAACTCGCTGTCCGCTCCACTTACTGTGTACTGCATCTTCAATATCGCACACAAAGTCCTAATGAGTGTATTGTGTTAGAAATTAAAGTCCACATTCAACGGAACGATTGACTTCACATCTGGAAAGTCTGCCATTCACCAGATATTTATCACGCGCCAAATCTTAGAAGATATCCACTAAAAAGAGTTCTTTATAAATTTAAAAGATGAACCAAAAGAAGCTACCTAAATGCCGCTATGACTGAGTTTGGAATGCACGCAAAACACTCTAAGCTATGGAAAGTGACGCCTAGTAACACCAAAGGAGGCATCAGCGAAATTTTATTATCTTCCTTATGACTTATTCAACCTCTCTGCTATAAGTAAAAGCTGCAAAATTATATAGAAAAGGTGCAATCTTCTTTAAAAGCACTGCTGGTGTATGCAACGATACGAGCGGCCATACGATTTAACTCCAAACAATCAGCGCGTTCGGGTTTGGCTCCCACAACACGGTGAAGTTGTAAACGACTTCATATAACCACGAACCAGCATGTACACCAAGTACAAAGTTAGCTTCGAAAGTCAAGGCAGAATCATTCTTGTCAAACAGGTTCTTAGATCCAACTGAAAAGTAAAAGTCACTCGCGACAAACAAAAAAGCGTGAACGTTCACGACATCAGATCAGTCGATTTTTGGAATGATTGAGACAGAGATTTTACGGAAGATTTCCCGTCCTGTATAGGGTACTTCACGACATTGATGTACATAGTTCAGCGAACTAAAAGTGTGGCTAGACCAAGTAATCCGGATGTACGAAAACACACCAGCTTTGAAAGTATTCGATGCATTACCTTCTGCTGAAATTAGGGGAAGAAGAAACCTTCAACTCCGTTTGGGCTTCTATAGATATCTTGAATTGGCGCCAAATGACGAAAAGGGGTAACAACTGGCACACTATTTTTAACTCAATTATTATGTAAAGATTTGTAACGCAAAATAAACTTATGAATAATAAATATGAGCGATTTTTTTTAGTTTAATGTTAAATCTCGGAAAAAAATGCGGAAAGTTTTATTCAATTTTGGTTTTCTCTTATATACAGAGGACAAGCAAAGTTGTGTTTGGACCAAAACAAACAATGCTATTTTCATTTATGCTCCAACTAAGTCAGGCTTTGTGACCACGTGCACTCTCTGTTTCATTCCATATTTATGCAGAAAATACTTCATTTTCCCTTGTCTATTTCGTTATTACAATTTTTTGTGCTCGGACTGTGGCATTACCTTGAACTTTATGACCCAGACAAGTTTATAATTCAGCTGTGAGCATATAATTATTTCATTGGACGAAAAGAAGACTTACTACTACGTATACACACAAACAACCTATTGACCCCGTTTTCAAGCAGTTCATTTTGTATGCTAAACATACAAAACTAGAATTAAAGTCTCACCCCTTCCAGCGCTCACCCTCGGATAGCATTCATTTGAATTCATTTATTTCCGCACCTGTTTGCAATACTTTGAATTGCAAATTTGTAATTTTTGCTCTACACAGTTCTTTATACTCGTATATGTTTATACGTGTATGTGTGTGTGTAATCACTTGTTTGTTCGTAACTAAATATTTAAAATGACTTTTAATCTCTCTAACATTATTTTCTCGTCTCTCAAGGTTACTGGCCGCTCGGTTTTGTATGGTGCAATATCTATGTGACGTGCGATGTGTTGGCTTGCTCCTCGAGCATCCTGCATATGTGCTTCATCAGTTTGGGACGATATTTGGGCATACGCAACCCGTTGGGATCGCGGCATCGTTCAACCAAGCGTTTGGCTGGCATTAAAATTGCCATTGTTTGGGTTATGGCTATGATGGTGTCGAGTTCGATTACAGTACTGGGTAAATATACATACATACAACAGAAAATATTTACAAATTTTATTTAGTTAGAGATTGATATTGATTTTTAAGAGGGTGTTTTTCGGTGTGTTGCAAAGTCATTACCAAAATAATGCTTCGGTTCGCGCGACACATTCGGTACATTTACTCGCCCAGTAGAGTCGGTAATAAAAGCAACCATGGATTTGCTTCGCAACAAGTTTACTCTGGTGAATAACGCTTATCCTCAGAGACACCGTACAGTGCTCACCGAAGGCGCTGCTGTGAAATAGTGTATCAAAGAATCTTAGTATGAGTCCACACGCCATCGCGCGCGCAGCCGGAGCTGCGCCTATCCAAATTACAGAAAATTTTGCGAAAGCTTATGGTATGCACCCTTACCAAATTCAATTAGCGCAAGAGTTGAAGTCAAATGATTATCAAGCATGTCGGTCTTTCAGTGAGACAGATAGACAATGATTTCCATAAGAATACATTTTTCAGCGATGAAGCTGACTACTGGTTGAATGGGTACGTTTATAAATAAAATTGTCGCATTTGGAATAATGTTAATCTATAAGCGAATCCTCAAAGAAAATCACTGATTGGTATACTCCATTAGTAGAAGGGTGCATTGGTCCAACAAGGCGGCCCGACCGTGGAGCCATCGAAACAATCAATTTATTAAAGGATACTTTTGGTGAGCCGTAAGTCTGTGGTGCCAGCTAAAAGATCGCCCGATTTAATACCACAGCTCTATAAAGCGACTTTACATCGCCTGTCTACTCAAATAAGGTCGATATCGTTGCGGTGTTGCTGGCATACCACCACAATTGCTGCAAAAGGATTTCGGAAGCTGATCCTGTCGGCTGGAATTTATTCGAGCCAGTCATAATCAGTTTGTAAACTTAATAAAACTAAGTCCTCAGCCAAAGCATTAAATTATGTGACTTGTTTTCTTCTGGAAAACCACATGTCTAAAAAAACCACCTTTTATCTCAGAGAAAAAAATTAATTTGACCAAAAAAAAAAAATCACCCCAAAAAAGAAGGATAGATCAGGTTGTTAAGAGAAAGTTTCTTATAATATTTCTACTTCTATTTTTTAATATATTATCAAGGGATTTATTATGCATGAGTACATACGAATGAGAACCCAAGATTTTGTCTCTCAATAATTATAATTTAAGAACCACCATAAGATACACTCAACCAAAGCTTTTGACGAGTTTTTTCCAATTTGTTTTTTCTACTGTCGTGGCATATACTTACATATACATATATATAAGTAGGACTATCTATAATTATTTTTTGTTTCCCATTCTCATTTAAGGTCTGATGAATCGTCACAATATAATGCCCGCTCCAAACATTTGTGTTATAAATAATAGAGCATTCTTCGTCTTCGGCTCACTTGTAGCATTTTATATTCCAATGTTAATAATGCTCACCTCCTATGCTTTGACAATACCGTTGTTGCGTAAGAAAGCTCGCTTTGCAGCTGAGCATCCAGAAAGCGAACTCTTTCGTCGGTAAGTATCGGGTAAATTAAAAGAAACTCTCTATGTGTAAAGACTAAGTGTCAAATAGCTATTTATTGAAGGTTCTTTTTGCTAGTAATACGATATATTATAATTCAATAATCACCAATAGATTATTGCACCATGTGAATATTTCATCCGCATAGAAAATGAGTAATCAATTTTACAGGAACTCCCATTTCTTCTGCATATCGTCAGAAGGTGACCTGTCAGAACCTCTCTTGCGTTAGCATTGTTCTCTAGGTTTGCCAAGGTTTCCTACAAATCTGTGTGAATTTCTACCTTTAGTCAACCATTTCAAAGTGGTTTCGAAGATTCCAGACCGGACATTTTTTCATAGAGGACGCGCTCCAAAAAATTCGACCATAATCTTTCACTGATGACGTCACTGTAGCTCTGGTGAAGTCGAAAATTGACGAAGACCCTTGACACAAGATATGATTGATAATGAATTAAGCTGGATTGTCTAGGCTGTATCGCGAATATTAAGTAATCAGCTGGAATACACGAAAAAGTCTGCTCGATGGGTACCAAGAATTTTAAATGAGACTCAAAAAAAGTAAATTTTGCTTAATTTTTCGTATACAAATATGAAAATGGTCAGTCCAGCAACTTTAGTAGAGTCTTTACTAGGGACGAATCTTTGATCCAAATGGTATGGAGCCCAATAGGAGCAAACCCAACCCTAAAATTTAAGCAGAAGAAAATCAGCAGCAAAAGTAATGATCGTAGCTGCTATTCCACTGGAAAAAGGTCAAAGTAACTGCCAAATGGCATATCAAAGAGTGCTTAGCAAAAATTTTCAAAAATTTTTTGGAAAACAGGAAGAGAGGGCATTTGTGGCACTGCTCTTTACATCTTGACAACGCGATTAAGTCATGTTATCCCCCCTTCAATGTAACTTCTAGCGACGAATACTTCTAAAAGATATGATAATCTTGTTTATATATCCGAGGTCTAGTCAACGCTTTCACTATTATGCTCCATGGCACTGACAGAGAAGGTAGTCTCTAGATTTGACTTGACGACCGTTCTAGGCCCAAGCACTAGAGATGTCCATCCAGTGGAACACACCACACCACACCACACCAAAACTATATTACTTTGAGCATTTTATTAACCCACAAACTTATTAATATTGTATTTTATGCTGTTTTCGAAGTTTCTTGGCAATAAATATTTGTAAAGAGCTTCTGCGGCAAAATGAATAATCCACAAATGCACATTTTTACGGTTTCAACTTCTTATACTCCTTCCCTTTCAACCGCACAGCTTGGGCGGCCGGTTTACCATTCGTCCACAGCATAGTCAACAGCAGTTGCAACTACCCAACAGCACAAGCTTTCGTCGAAGCAATAATAGCCACACTACCTACACCAAATATTGTAGCAGCGATAATAAACGCAATTCCGACGGCAACAATGATGAAAACATTAATAATACGGGGTTTGCTGATAGCGACACGCGGCAGCAGATGCAGGGATTTCGACAAACCGCAAATAATGCAAACTACTCAAATGGCTGTGGTAAGGCGGCTAATGCCAGTGAAGGTGGCGGCATCCTCTTCAGGTGTCGCACGAGTTTTCGTCGCAACACCCTGCGGCACTCGTCAACGTCATCGGTGCGTATTAAGTCGCCCACTCGCGACATCATCAGTGTGGATCGACTGACGCAATCCCAATCGGCTCAGCACAGCAGCTTTTGGCGAACACATGGCAACAATCCAAATTTAATGGACAGGTAAGTGTAGCTCTACAGATATAAGTATTCATAAGATGAAGAACGAAGAGGTGGAGCAAAAATGATGATGAATCTGACTAAAAAAAAATGTCGCTTGCATTTAGATTAAGCATCATACTCAAAGCTCTCAGCAAGATTTACTTGTATGTACAATATATATTAAGTAGTTTCTTCTTCTTCTTCTACGTCTTCTTCTTCTTCGTCTTCTTCTTTTCTGGTGTAAACACCGCTTATGCGATTGTAGCCAAGTTAACAAGAGCGTTCCATTCATACATTTTTTTCACTACTTTGCGCCAATTGGATACACCAAGTGGATTTCCAATGTAGTATAGGTTCTCCACTTCCTGTGCTTCCACCAGACGTAGGTTGATGCATCGTTTACTTTGAAAGCTGAGGTATTTTCGTCCATACGGATGACATGACCTAGCAATCGTAGATTCTCCTTATGCCGGAGCGCACGAGAAAGGTAGGGGCTCTATCTATGTTCTTCAAAAAAGCACTTTTCTTAGCAGTTGCCTACTCAGGCCAAAATAGCACCTATTGGCAAGAGTGATTCTGCATTGGATCGAGTTGCCGATATTACCTTCGTTTACTATCGGACCCATACGGTTCGCCTACATATCTGGTCTGGAGAAACCTGAGACTGAGCAGCGCGGTTGTTGAGTCCAAAGATATCAATATCATCGGCGTACGTCAGCGGTTGACCTCTCCTATTTAGTTCTGAAACTCATACAAATTTCTCTGGTATTTAATTTGAAAATTCACACAATTAGAAGTCACCATATCTGAAACTTCATTTGATATCGGCATAGATGACTACGCTCAAGCTATTTGTTTCGTAATGGAGGCTGAATTTCTCAACTAATGTACCTAAGACACCTTCCTTTTCCAACCTGGCATTGAAACTGAAAACCGTGATTTTTTAACAAGTGGCGTGGACATTCTACGTACACATAGAATACAGCTTTGGTAACTTTATCTTTTTTACATTTGCGCTTGGGTAGAAATATATTAAAAAACTCCGATTGAATCAGAGAGCAAGACGCTCATCCATCGAGATTAAAGTTAGTATTCGTCGGCGGAGTCTCAACAAAAATCCAGCATTAAATTAGCGATCTTGATTTGCCACTCTAATTAGGTTCACATATACCCACCTTTATGCGTCTTTGTCCCGTCCATCCCACTTCTTTGACGGCGTGGTAGTGGCATCTTACCAATTAAGAGACCAGACATTCCGAGTGCATTAAATGTCGAGTATCCTATCCATAGCCGTTTGTGCGGTTTATTTATTGATTATGGATCGCAAACCATGCTCTTAACAGCCAGGGACCTCTTTTTCTCACATTAACTCACCTCCAAGCCGATGTTTTTTACCGATACTTTTTACTGTAATACAAAAGATAAATTTCTCGGGATCAAATTTTTTCAATAATATAGCCAGTTCTAAGAATATGATACCTCGGTGGCTGATTACGAGGAATCTTCAAATAATTTCAATATTCCAACAGTCCCGGGTCTAGTAAACTAACTACAAACTGATATCGCGATATTTAAAATAGACGAAGAAACTCCAAGTTTGCGCTTTGATCTTACTTAGGAGCTTTGCTGATGCAACATCTGTACTCATTCAGCTTACATTTCGAACAGTTTTGTGACGGAAACTTTTACTTTTAAAATATTGTTCTACCTGCAATCAGCTTATTACTAGTTAAATACTAGTTCGTTTTTTATTCTGTAGTAAAATCTAAGCCGTGAACTTTGCGTGCTACATAATATATCATAGGGTATCGCATAATTTGCCTTTCATCCTGGACACGTAGTCACTCTCGACTTCAGTTTCTCTAGCCTCTTTTAATCTAAAATCTGTATCAAAGTCAATAGCAAGGTTATGGGAATATCATCCTATGCAGCGAAACCGGAAATTTCATACGGAGTTTTTTGAAAACCGGCTTTTGAAAAACAGTTCTTAACAGTTTCTGACGTAAGGTTGTCCCATGTGCATTTCATAAAATAAACGCCTCTAAAATGGCAAAAGTTTTTGAAGGTTTCTCCATTGGAATCTCTACTAATCTTATCACGCGAGGTCCGCGTCCGGTTAGGAGAGGTGCAGAAAATATGAGAACAGGAAAAGAAGTTTTCGGTTATTTGAGGGGAATTTGTTCTAAAAACGCAATAAAAAACTCGGTTCCTTAATCTTTGCCCGGTTATAAGAGGAGGTGTTCGTAAGTAGAGGTTACATTGTATATACATATATTTGTGAAGAAATTGTTAACAAAAACACAGTTACAAAATTCATGAAAAACATTTTTCGCAATTTTTATTTCAATGGCCAACAACATATTTTCTTTATAGCCTTTAAATGGGCAATAACTTTTCAAGCAACGGTTTCGCTACTAAATATTTTATATACTACCAGCAAATACAACATATGTAACAATTGTTTCGAAAATAAAGACAGCGTATCAACAAGCTCGGGCATTAAGCATAGAACATATAGCACACGACAGTACGACAAACGACAAACGATATCCGTAAAGCTTTAAATTGAGAAGTGCTCATGAGAATAGTGATTTCGAAAGTGTAAACTCTTATTGTCGCTCTCTGAAAAATATTTTTAAATTCCAGAGCGACAACGAGCGCTTTAAGCGCTTCCAACAAACTGTCGTTTGTCGAAACTCTTGTGTCGTGTTGTGGTCAACGGGTGAAAGGCTTTATGCATTTCCACTATGTGCGTTTATAGAATTATGCATTCAGGGCAACAAAAATAGAAAAGCCGTTACTAAGAAAAACAGCTGTAAAATAATTCGTGTAAAAGTGAATGCAAACACTTGTCGCGCCATTGAAACACATACATACATACACACACATACATACATACACATATGTATATGTATATACAGCATGTGATCCATTCAAACAGTGAATGCAAACACTTGTCGCGCCATTGAAACACATACATACATACACACACATACATACATACACAGTTATATATGGATGTACTTAGTCATGCTCGTAAACTAAAAATATATTCTAGCTTCGTGAATACAAACATACATGCATATTTAACTGTACATTTGTCATTGTTTATTGCATTCGTTGGTTCATTTCAGTTTTCTAGTAAAACCTAAGCGCATTGTTGGGGGTAAATAAAATAAGGAGAAGCGAAAAACGAAAAACGGTAACAGAGAGTGTAAGAATATTCCACTTTTACCTCTTAATTGACCCCATACTGTTAGAGGGGAACTTATATGGCTCAAGTTAGAATGACTAAATGGACACGTGGAAGCGAAGATTTTCATTTGAGTTAGATATTTGCCATCACAACAAAAAAAAACTTCCAAAGTCGATTTTCAGGCGTCAGTCTATTTTTTCTCTTGAGGCCAGCCAAATGATTCGCCATAGACAGGTTTAGCTGGTAATCACTCCATTCACTTGTGTACATGACATAACTCAAGTAAGAAATATGATATTTTGAAGAAACTTGGTTCACAAGCATAGATGCTATTGTAAATTGGGTGAAATCAGACCGGGTTACTTCTTCCAATTGCCATATTTCTAATGATCTAATACCAGCACCAATTGCATATAGGCGCAATCGGCGATAACGTACTAAGGTGAATTTGTTTGTAAAATTAAAAATTTTGATTTATTCTTCCATATCGATTTCGTCGCTTTCAAAATATCGTCGCCTTCAAAATAGGCCCCTGCCGATGCAATGTACTTACGCTAACGCTTTTTCCAATCATCGAGGTATGTCAAATAGCCGCGTTCTGGTATGGCCATCAGAGAGCACACCGATTCACGTTTAATCTCCTCAATCGACTCAAAACGGTGTCCTCGAAGTGGTCACTCGTGTTTTTGGCAGAGCCAGACGTTACATGGCGCTAAGTCCGGCGAATACGGTGGTTGGGGAACGATATTCGTAGAATTTTTAGCGAAATGGTCACGAAGAATGAATGTTGTATGCATTATCGTGATGCAAAAAGCACGAAGGCACTTTTAGTCGTTTGGTAAACACAAGCGTAACTAAAATACCAATGACGACATTGACATGAAATTTAGATGTCAATAAAAGTGCTACCAACATTAAAAAAAAAATTACATTAAATATGATTATTAAATATTAAACGCGGGAAGCGAAAAAAAAACTTTTTGCTCACAGAGTATATACTTGTACGCTCTTATAGAAGATTGTACCTTTCCTAACCAGTTTTACAGCTTTTATTTATTACTTTCTCCAACTGTGAGTTAAAAAAGTCGCACAATAAGGAGCTATCTCATCTGAATCATCGTCTAATATCGAACGGCTCACAGAGGTCCTTCCCGATGCTGACCGGGATTTTAATATTTCGTACCGTCAGTTTACAGAATAGTACTATTAGCTTTTCGGCGATACCATCCGTTCGGTGCCTTTATACTTTAAACCTTTACGCAGTGCATTCGAGAGGATTATTTGCAATATGAAAAAAGCTTATTCCACAATAATTTGCGCAAATTGTCGTTGTCTGTTCCGTTGGCAACGATTGGGGAATTACCATTTCCTAGTGTTTCTTTTTCACTGCTGTTCAGTGTATTGCAGTAGTGTTCCATCCATAAATTTAGTATGATCTACGCATCAGTCGCAATATTACCTGCTTGGGTTTTTTATCCTCCAGTTCCAAAATCTTTTATAAGTCGCTGGGTTTTTTTCTTTCATTATAGAATTTCAGAGTGCTCTCAAGCTTTTTACGCTCATGAAAGGTTGCAGGTTAAGAATTCATCTTGCTTTATAGCTGCAGCAAATCTCTTTGTCCGTGCTGTACTTTTGACCTTGTAAAAAACCAATATTTTCTTATGCAGCTGCACCTAACGAGCTTAAAACTCCGTTCCACAGTTCCCTTTTACCGAGTTGCAAAACAGAGCAAAAGGCCAAGTGTAAACCGATTCGGTGTTAGGTGCTGAGAGCGTACGGGTGTCTAGAACAGTGGAGACATGTCGTCCGTTTATCGCAACACGAT